TTTGGACCGTTTTGATGGTGCTTGCTGACGATTCAACCGCGCCACTTGTTTGGCTTATTTTGTTGCCCTTTTCGAAAACGACGAACCCCAGGTACGGCTTTTTGCGGGAAAAGAAATTGGCCAGGGCGGGATTGTGCCCATTCTGGGAGCGTCTACAGAACCTCAGAACATCGGTGTTTTCGGTCGGGACATAGCAACTACCGTCACGGGCAACTAACGTGGGCTCATTCGGACTGCTTCAGTTTGAAACGAAGGGGCCGCCAGTAGATTTTAGAGTCCCAGTGACATTGCCAAATATTTAGAACCTTTGGGGGTCCCAGTTCCACACCCAAATGTTTACAACCTTTCCTAGCTTTGGAAACCCGAAGGAAAAACAAATCGCAGCGTTCACGCGCGCTCCGTAAGTTCTTACAATCTTTTGCAAGAAGTGTCTGTTCTACCCTGGTGTGAGTTTCACCAGTGGCGCTTGGCTCTATGCGGGAGTACGCCCAGACACCAGGTGCGAATCAACCCCGGGATCCCTTTGAGGCTTCCCGAACTGAGACTTTTATGAGACTTATCCCACCCTTTTTGCAACTGCAATGCACGTTTATTTCGCCAGACAAACAATAAGGGCAGCCTCGAGCAGGCTCTGGGCTTGAACTATTTAGTACCTTGCGGGCCGTGGACTGTAACCAATGCCTCGCTCGGCGGACGACCTGCTTCTGGTGGAAGTGCAAAACGGCAACAAGAGAGGCGTTGAGCGATATCTCGCAGCCGGCGCGAGCATCGATGGGTCTCCCCATTCGGGGGAGGAGTATCCACCCGTCGTGTTCGCTGCCGCCGTGGGCAGCGCCAGCATGATCAAGTTTCTGGTCGACAAGGGCGCGGACATCAACTCCGCTACATGGCGACCGGGGGCTTTCCCAAGCGGGTCGCGAGCGATCCACGTGGCGGTCAGTTCCGGCTACGCCGGTGCGCTCGACGCCCTCCGGGAGCTAATCAAGGCGGGCGCTGATCTCAATGTGAGGAACTACCAGGGCTGCACCCCGCTCATGATGGCCTGCAGGGTAGACAAGGAGGGGGCCGAACGCGTTGAGTTGGCGAGGGAACTGCTCAAGGCAGGGGTCGATACCACTCTCGTGGACGCTGATGGACGCGCGGCTCTGCACTATGCGGCCTACTCTGGGAATGAAGCCCTCATCCAGGCACTCCTGTCGAAGGGGTCGCTGTCAACGCTGAACCTCGCCACGCAGGACGGAAAGACGCCCCTTTGCGTGGCCGTGGAATTCGTCCACTGCGGCGTCGTGTCTCTCCTCTTGTCCGCTGGGGCGAGTCAAAGGGGCCTGCCGGCAGGGAAGTACCCTTGCCCGTTTCGCAGCGCGGCCGCACTGGGGTACGAGAACATCTTACGCATCCTTTGTTCGGAGAGGGGAATGGACGCCGTCGGTGGAGGCGCGGCCGTGCTTCCTAATTCGCTCGCGTGCGCCACGAGAAGAGGGAAAGCGAGAATCCTCAGGTTTTTGCTTGCCGCGGAGGGCCAGGAGAGGCAGGAACACTGGGCCAGGCGCCGCTTGGTTTTGGGCAGGCCGCTGGTCTATCTGGCCGCCGCGTACGGGATCCTCGCCAACGTCAAGGTGCTCCTGGCGGCGGGGGCTGATGAGGCAGACACGGACCCAGATGGATACGCCGCGCCGGAAGTAATTGGAGGTCAACTGCCGTCGGGTACGCTGGATCCGCTGGAGGCTGCGGCCATCGGTCGAGAGCTGCAGCGGGGCCCGGCGTACCGCGCCCGCTCGTGGGCCTGGCCGATCGGGGAGGATGCCTCTGTCGCTGGTGATGCTCGTGCTGCTGGTGCTCTGCGGGGTCTTGAGATCACCACGATAAAGAGGTCGACTCTATGCGGAAAGCTATTTCAAAGGTGGGAGGGGTGGGGGCGTAGAGAGCCGGCGGGGTGGGGACCAGAGCCTGGAAGTCGCTGACCTGCCATCGTACACTTGAATTTGCCGGCGTTGAAAGTATTCGCCAAGGATCGCAGTCTGTATTGTACTAACCGGAAGCCACGTTTCCACGAGTCTCGTAAGTTCTGTAATGGGAATTGTGTGTATCCCAGCACATAGCAGCAGAAGCTGACGCCCACCGGCGCTGGTCGATGTGATAGCTGGCAGAGCTTGTAGCAGCCGAAGTACAGCAGTGCTCAGGGCGGAAGAAGATGATGCGATGTTGTAAACACGGCGCGTTGGTGGCCAACACAGATTCACACAGATACGCAGATGATAATACAGGACAGTAGTCTAGGTAGGAGGGTGGTGATAGTATCCAAGGGATGGCAAGGATAGTAGAGGTACCCAGACCGACCCTCGTATGACGGAGAGGTCACAAAGAGTGGGGTCGATCATAGCACGACGAGACGAACTACGCCGCAGTAGTAATTCCTCCGCATACGCATACGATACATTCCAACCGACATAGCCTATATTGCGCCGCTTAGAATTCATACGCAGCTACTGAACATTGACTAATGAACGGGAGGACACGATCATTTCCTTAAAGAGTATCGGCCTTCACTAGCAACTCACGTCGGTCGTGCAAAGATGCTCCACGCCGCTTCAGACATGTCGGCTTCGGACAGATTACACACCTGGAAGTTCCCTTGTGCCCGCTTCTTCGCTGCTGTGGCCATTGACCGAATTCGCCAATGACTTCCGTATCCCTATGAAATGACCTGCCTATTTGTTCAGGTATTGCCAGAAGTTGTAGGGTCAACAACAGGAGATGACGTTCGCGCTCCGAGAAGAATACCTCAGCTTGCCGAGGATTGGAAGCAGGACTTGTGCAAAGGAGGCGATAGAGCGCCTCATTCTATCTCTGTTCTTCTCCTGTTCTGGCCTAAGGCCGTGTCCGCTTATTACCCTGGTTTCTTTGGAATCGGCAAGGTTCTGATTTGCTCTTTGGGGGCCCTGTGTTCGTTGGGAGACGCGGCAGCTGCAACGATTTCATGCGTCTATGTATGAGTTGAGTTTTTCTTTACGGTCGTCCTGCGTATTGTTTGGCTTTGACGACAGCAGCAACGCCTCCCTCTATTCTCTATTGTTCTCGTGCTCTGCCCTGAGGCCGAGTCCGCTTCTTTGTGTGGTATAGCTGGAATCGCCAAATGTGCTGCTTTGCTCTTCGGGGTTCCCGTATTCGTTGGGGGACACGGCCCCTATAACGTTTTTTTTGTTCAATGTACTCCAGAGTGTCAGTTGAGCTTGGTGTGAAACCATCTTGCGTATTTGTGGTTTTGACGACAACAGCAGCGTCTCCTTCTATTCTCTGTTCTTTTCGTGCTCTGCCCTATGGCCGATTCCGCTTATTTATCTGGTATACTTGGAATCGCCAAAGGTTCCGCTTTGCTCTTCGGGGTTACCTGTGTTCGGTCGGAGGCACTCCATCTTTCATGTCATGATGTACTTATCTGTTGAGCAGTTCTGCACGATCATCTTGTGCTTTTTATGGCGTTGACATATGGTTTGAACGGAGTTGCGCGCGTTGTACGGACGACGGCGTTATGCTTTTGAGATGGCCACTTCGGCCACACCGCGTGTCTCCGCAGTCAACACGTTTGCCTCAAGCGAGGATGCCAAACTGAATGCTCTCCGTGGGTCTTCAAGCGGGTTGTGCTGTAGACCTGCAAGTTCGCCTACGTGGTCGCTTTTGGTGCTTTCTCCTTCAAATCGATTGTTTCCCATATCAATTTGTTCGGCTCGCGCCATTCGCTGTGGTTGAAGGGCCACGCCTACGTTACGCTTCGTTGTGGTTTTGATTTGCAAACTAGCGGGAATCGAAGGCAACTGCCTCACGTCGTAAAGCACCGGCTGGGGTTCCAGGCACTGCATTGCGTGTGTCTGACCGGCCAAGGACAGCGTCGTAGTCGTGTTGTTGTGGTTACACGTTTTCTACGTAAGGGGTTCATTTTTACATTTTTCTCGTTTCGGTAGACGTTCTCATCCACAAGGTTCGAGCCGTGGTCCCCATATTCGAGTCATTGTGGTTGAGCCTTCGTTGTGATATCAGAAAGCTGCTTCTAGTGGTACATCACCCGGTACGTCGTGTATATTTTCCTGTTAAGGAGAGCTGCTGTTGGCTATTGCTTCGAGAACAACCCTTATTTGCTTAGAAGGCATATTTGTATGCTTTTTCCTGACTGTGGGGAGGATGGCTCGGCTACGTGTTGCTCACCCTGACCCTATCGCTCTTCCGCAAACGATGTGCCTTCCTTGGCAGCACGAGTACCATTTGCAAACTATTTCTTTGTCTCTTACCGCAGGTGCGATGATCTATCGCTATTTTTTTTGTGCGAGATAACGGTCAATCCACCTGGTAACTTGTTTTTCTCGTTGTCATCCCAGCAACTTTTCTTAGTTGTCCGAATTACTTTCTTTCGCTCAACAGTTCGGTACATCGTTTGAGCACACAGTTTCGTCCCTATGTGCGAAGTATTTATCCACTGTCGCATTGGTGTACGTGGACGACAGACGAAGCGCCGTTTCGGACTATGCGGAGGCCCCGAATAGAGCGCAGCGTCGTTGTATAATACAGTAACCGTGTCCACGAAGACAACAACAACGTTTACGCATGACTCCACTTCGTTGGAGAACGCTCTCGCATCCCCATCTCTTCCATGGCAGCCTTCCTGAAGAGCATCGACCCTGCCACCTCCGTACTGCTGTACAAGTAGTGCCTAGTAGAAAGGAAAGGCTCTACCTCGAGAATATATACCCACGGCGTGTGCAATACAGCAGTAATTTTTTCGGCTGGTAAACACCCCTGCGACTTCGCGCGAGTAGTGTGTCGTGTTCGTATGGACATGACGGCATCACCACATCACCACAGTGCGGCGGCGGAACCGTGCGTGGTTCGCCCAATATTTGCCGAAGGGACAACTACCCCGACGGGAACCAAAATCTGCGGCGTGATCGCCACCTCTCGCTTTTCTGACTGGACGCCTCCGATGACGTGTCTGAGCATCAAGAGTGTCAGGCCAACCACCATCACAACTCTCTCCGTCTGCCACAACATACCTCTTCTCCGCCCTCTTCTCATTCAAAAACTGGAAGACAATGCAAGCTACCTGTATCGCCCTGCTATGTGCTGTCGTGGCGATGATCACGTGTCTCGAAGGTAAGCGAAATATATCGACCAGTATCACCAACGGATGTACAGCACAGCTGCGGAGCACGTTCATGTCGAACTTGTAACAGCTGTCATTGAGCGACCAGCATGCGCTGTACACCTGGGGTTCGTCTCGACCAACCGCTATAGATTCAAGCTGACATCGACGCGCTACTGCCAGAGCAAAACCCTTGCGCCAAGTTGGGGTACCTAAAAACCCCAACAGGGCTCGCTCGTCTTGTTTTGCTCAGTCAACCCTCAACCTGGTGTCACAAGCAGCTCAAGAGCAAACGGAACTCTGACCGAACTCCGCATAATCTCTCCAGCGATGACCCATATGGTGCATAACGCTATTGCGCTTGTCGCACGCCTGAGTGTAGCATTACCACATCACGACCAAGTTTTGTTCAGCGTGGGATTTTTGCTGACATGTTTTGCTTCAGAGGTTTTGAAACACTTCTGGCTACGCACAAAGCGTCAGGGATGTACCCCACTGAGGTGTCGTCCCCATAGATTTACCACACGACGTAAGTGTGCAATTGCCTTGACCAGTCTAAACGCTCAGTATAGCACGCACCAACGATCGAACGTTCATGTGCATGTACGGCATACGGACACTATGCTCGCGTAAGACTGCGTACACCATGTAAACTTTGCTTTTGGTTCGATGAAGGGTCGCTGGGCTCTTCGAGCCCAACGGCTCGTCCTGCTGCCTGCATGAGTCGTCATCTTGCATCATGCCTTTGACGACACGGCTGTGTCCTCACCAGCCACTTCGGAGGGATCACTTCCTTTTCTTGACGATACTTAACGATTTCCGGATTATTTCAGATGCAATTGACGTGTTCATCTCCATGGTCTTGACGCACTCAACTTCTGTTACAAGCAGCTGCCTTTGCTTTGAAAGCTGATGTTCTCGTTCACGCATAAAGTCGTCGACCCCAATAACTTGTTTGTCATCAGGGTTTAGCACGCGACCAAGCCTACACACCCACCGAGCGCCCACCACAGCGTCAAGATCGTTGCAGGCGTCGCGAGTTGGCAGTCGCCGAATCTCACAAACAAGAATGTTCTTCGACTTCGGGAAGAAAGAGTCGAACGCTAGACCAATGGCTGGGGGGACTGTCAAGGGGGGGAAGAAGGTGAGAGGAAACAGATTCAGATTTAAGACTGCGGGAGTTACGTTTGCTTTACAAACGCATCTGGAATGATTCTTATTTTTTCTGTCAACCTGGGTGAAGTTTTCATGCGATACTCGATAGCTGATTCGACTAGCATCACAGCTGCGGTACAATCATCCGTCGCCTCCTTGGCGACCCCACGGCCAACTATCCAGTGGACCCTCGTCGGTTCACCACCATTCTGCCAGATTTGTTTTCAGAGAAGATGATGCCTTTTCGCGTCTTGCCTTGCCTGCTTGGGGGTGTCAGCAGTTGGCCTAGAACTCCCCAGCTGGACCTGTGTGTAGATACATTCCGCCAACAGTTTTCTCAGCCGTGGCTGGCCACGGCGTCGTGCTCGGGCACGAGACAACACTCGAATCGGCCGTTTCACCCCTTCGTCCTCGGTCGTCTGGCACAAGTATATACACCTATTTTGTGTGTTCCTTGCCTCCTTCGTGAGCACCCGGGTGTCCAAGGACGCTTGAGTTTGGAAATAAACGTTACACCGGCATGTCCGTCATACTTAGTATGACCGAGTCGCCACGAGAAAAACCATCTCATTGTTAGTGAATACTACCCCACACCAGGCAATCTTGCGTCTTTTTCTGCTGTTGCCTCATTGACCCTGCCTCTCTCTCTCTCTCTCTCTCTCTCTCTCTCTCTCTCTCTCTCT